TCTCAAACAAACAAATGGGACTCCACGACACCCCGCTCACGTCGCTCTGCAACCTCATCAAGTGAGTCAATCTCGCTCAAAGTTTGAAATAGAGCCTTGACCGTGTTTAGTGGATGTCGAGACACGATCATCTTGGATTTAACATTCTTGTATCCAGCTAAACTCAAAATACCACCGACTGTGTGGATATAGTTTCCAGCAAGTCTTTCGATTCTCTTCAGTATGATCTCACCAAGCAACTCTCCATCCATCAAGACCAACAATTTGGAATATACCGCATCTGCACGTTATTCAAAATAATGCCCACTACCTGAAAATACTCACGACCTGGAAACCAAAACTTGACAAATTTCACAAGCTACGTGCAAACTCCTCACTCAAAACTATTCGTGTGACTGTAGGCCATCAACTTGTACCACTTTTTGGATCCCCAAATTAATCATATGAATTTGATTTAGATGAACCATTGTGTTAAACTCTGAGACTCATCTCGACGCTTAACTTAGAACAAAAATCTATGTTAACAAAAATTCAAAAATTGAGCTTTCAAATTAGAAAATAAAATCTTTAGAATAGCAAACGCAACTGGCCGGGTCAAATGTTGAAACCCACTATTTCACAATTTTACGCTTCGACTATGGTTCTGACAATTCCTCGTTTAAAACTGGCCATCAACACTCGCTTTCCTCACAAGTCTAACATCAAGTTCCACTTGTTTTACGGCACAAAGAGCAGCGTAGATTGTTGAAATGGTTCTGCCCTTTGTCTACTGTGCGACAGATCTTTGCACACTTGCAATTCAACCACCGCTCTTGGCCAAAAGTCCACGGACCTCTCATAAGGTTTTTAGATCACAACCCATCACAAACCAAACCCTTTCTATCTTCCAAATGAATCGTCTTTCACTCTGTGGCTTCATAAAGCTCTAACCTCTGCTCAACTTTTGAGCTTCAAAATATCAATACTGATTGGTGCATTTGAACCATATTTCATTTGAAACTTGTTAGATCCAAGAGAGACTCATGCATTTCTGCACTTCGATTTGAAAAAATACCTCAATCATAAAACTCGTTCATATTGTCAATACTATCATATACACAAAAAATCTTCAAACCATGAATCATTCAAATCTAAACTCGCACTTTGATTGCGAACATCACACTGAACCTTGAAATTACCATAAAAAATTCTTCTCCTTCGGTACAATCTATTGCCCAAAACCACTTCGAATCTCAAATTGCTCCAAGTGAATGAAATTGCAAAAACTCCAATAATCTTCGTCAGCGATCTCAAACGAGAAACTCAATTCTTTGAGTGAAATTGACGTGTTTTTCCTCACTTGCAACAAAACTGTCACACATACATAAGTCGAACCCAACCCATTCGTCTTGAAAATGCAGATCTACGCTTGAGGGCATTCACTCGTCTCAACGTTACAGGCTCGACTCGAAGAACTGACGTTATTTGAGTCGTTGTCGCCTCTATACCCTACGTGAACAGTAACCCTAGTTTAACGGCTAAAATTAGTATACACTAAAATACATGACAATTCGTTGATTAATATAATATATTATAAGATTGAAGTTTGTAACTCTTTATATTTTTATGTATAATAAATTTATTTTATAGTGTACTGATACTTCCATCATGTTGATTAGCTTTTTTACTCTTTTTTCTTCTCATATCTCACCACTTCGACGTAATTCTTATCATCTTTATATACATTTTTTTTAATTCCTCATTCTTGTGCCACCATGCGAAGATGTTGATGACTTGAAGGTTGCGTGCGTATAACATGACCGTGTGGAAGAATTGTAGAAGCTTGGAGCCAAGATGAGGCGTCAGGGAGGCAGTAACACGCCGAGTAAACATAGAAAGATGTCAAGAAAAAGCAACATGGAAACATAGAAAAGTGTCGGGCAATGATGGGAAAAGCAAATCAGTAGGATGGGAGTATCGACGCCTATTTTATATTTCATATATGATCATCACAATTTTCATCATGACTGCTCATTTTTTTTATGAAAAGATTGTTGAATATGAAAATTTTTTATTGTGAATTTAATTTACAAGACACATCTTCAACATATTATGATTTCAATCAAATTAATAGTCAGCTGAATACAAAATGTGTCAAGTATCCATACATATTGAGCCATAAAATCAAATTCAATCAACAAAACTCATAATGCTATGATGAAAAATAGTTGATTTTTGAGATGAGCTATTTGATGCAATGAGGAAGTATGTAATGAAAAATATAATGTAGTTTGGTGTAAAAACTTTTAGGTTTAGTATTATGAATAATTATGGTGACATGAGTAGAATTCTAAATTTGTAAAAGAAACAAAATAATCAAGAATGTATTTGAAAGGTAAGATTAACTCTCACGAGTAATGAGAAATAAATTAATACTTTTGCATATCATCATGACTCGCAAATTCCAAATATCACATAATCAATATTGATGTATAGAATTAACAGCTGGAGGATAATGTGAAATATACGTGAGGTACTCGACCTTGATGTTATATCACCGTCTAGAGTGGAACACTCACCGCACATGCATGTTCTCATTCCACGCACAGAGAAAGAAAAGTGGAGGAAATACAGAAACCAAATTAACATACCTTTGTCTCACTAAAACTATATCATTTAGAATGCTCCATGGACCGATCCCTCCTGTCATTTCTTACAGATGTGAGTTTGATATACTCCTCCAAGAAATGGGATTAGATATTGAATATTTGTTGACCTGATTAAAGCAACCTGGGGCGAAAGGAATTTCACCACCGGCATTCCCAAGTACTACAAGAAGGAAGGAGCTGGCCATGGACTGCGCTCCCCGAGAGGCCTGCAACTCGAGGTAGTGGAGAAGCAGGAGGGACATGCGTCCGTTTCATAGCGGGATGTCGGCACAAAGACCCAGCTAAACCAGCGTCGGTCAGAGTAACGCGGGTCAGTTAACCGCCCCCGGTGAGATTAGGGCACAGAAGGGCATCGCTGCTCGTGACGAGGCCGCTGCTGGGTGGAGGAGACTGATGACGTGGCGAGGTTGAGGATAACTCGAGCGATTCGACCGAAGTCAAAGAAGGACGGCTCCGGGCGAGACATGCGCCTGACGAATCTCTGGCCCCCCGGCTGGCTCTGGTTGTTTGTTCCACAGAGCTCGTCCCTATCCTCGTGACAGGCCGAGTGACGACGATGGCTGATGTCAGTGCGGCCTGGATCGCGATGCTTCGGCGGCCAGCGGGTAATCGGAAAGATAATGCTGCCAGGGCTGTCTTGATGCGCTCTTGCGACGAAGAGAGATGTTCGTCTTGCTTGGATGTTTGTTTTCTCGACTAGGGCGGCCCTCGACACTACTACTTTCTGATCTACGGTCCGCGGTTCCTCCGAGTGAGGTGCATGTCGTTTGACGGACTCATTGCACGCCCGGTCACCTCTCCAGGAGCTATGTTGACACAGACATTCGAGAAAAACTGCTCTTGTCCTCGATTTCTTCTCAAGCCCAGCCTAACGTCACTTGTCGTCACATCTTTTCGGTTAGGGTGATGGCATGGCATGCGATATTTTAACTGACCACATGCCAAAGTTTCCGTCGTAAGTAGAAAGTAGACGGAGATTTCCGAACAGTTTGCAGTCTTCCCGAGCTGTGGAAACCTAGGCTTGGAACTGCTTGCTGGACCGAATCGGTTGATTCACTTCAGCCCCGATCCTGTAATATGAACATGTGCTATGGATCCATCCCGAGAAGTGTAAGAACTGTGGGCGCGAGGTTCACAGGTGTGATATTATATTTACCAGGCAATCCCGAAGTTTCGCAGGTGAAATCGTCTCGCAGTACGGTGGAGGAAACAAGGTCACGATTCGACAGCTGTGGTTATTTCTTTCGGTGGGAGGAAGATAGGTCAACTGAGTGGAACAGATACAGAGGCTGGTTTTCGAGGAAGTCGAGATCACTCGCTCACTGTCGGAAGTAACTGATTGCTGGTGCTTGTGGTAGTCCGTGTTATGATGGGACTAGTCGAGCATGAACGGAAGAGAAGATCTTCAGTATCGATGGAAGACTCGCCTTGGACAGCAGACTCGACCCCCAATGTGATGTTGATGCGTCAACGACGACACTGATGACGTTCGCTTCTCAGAGTCATGAGATTATGCTCACCTCTTGAAATGACTCACGTCGGATATCATTTCTAGCTTGAGGGAAGGGATAACTCGCTGCTACACCGCTGGAACTCGAAACCCAGGAGAAAAAATCTTCAGGAGACAAAGTTTCACCATGACACGGAAAACGCGTGTTCCGTGACCTAAACAACTGCTATCACTTAGTAGTAAACAAGGATGAAAATGGACTACAACAAAATTGAACAATACTAGGACTGGAAGAATTTCGTCCCCTCCTCAGCTATACAGAAACGTCTTGAAAGATAACTCCAAGCTCACTTTGACCGATCAGGCGTAACTGGTACTTCAAAATCTAAGCTGACCACACTGAAACAGGGATTCGTCCTGTGTCACAACTAAACTATGGATAGCAAGCTTGTAGTTGAATCCCATACGGCAGAGGACTGACTACGCCGACAACTACCTGATGACCAACCAGGAACGTCCGAATGTGATCCGAATTACTATTCAGATTTCCTGGAGATACAAGCGGGTTTGCGAGGCTCTGGGGCACGGGCAAGGCTTCCTGTGACATGATATTAGGACACATGGATCTACCTACCGTCTAGTGATGAGACGGAAATGTGGGGCGTTGCTGGGGAAAATGGGCTTCGCTTCGTACCAGGCAGCAAGTGGTCCGTCACGGCTTCGCTAATTCCATTGGAGGACCTTCAGGACGGAAAAAAGAAAACCCTCACGTCCTACATACGCTCTTGGTACTATCAATTCTCGGCCTATCACGCGATCTGAACAGGTGAAGATGATGCACAAAGAAGGCAGACAACCCGTCCTCATAAAATACTGGTGAATCCAATGTCTCGAACATCTCTACAAAAAGAGCGAGATGAGCTCGAGGCATTGGATGCCGTTGTTGTCCATTCAGTGCAAGACATCAAAATATGAACGGCCTAGATGGACGAATGGCAAAGAGGGATATAATGATAGTATACCTTACATTGTTTCACCTCAGTGACTAGCTCAGAGACTTCTTTCTCATCCTGTATTTCGTCTAGATGTTTACTCATCTGCAGGAGGTGTTGGAACAAAACTGCTCATACTCAAAGAAAAATAAAATTTGTCAGAATCAAAACTGTGCGCTTATCTAACAGCAATGGGAACCACCGCATGCCCCACTCAGCTAGGAGGGCCATGCAGTGGTTGAAAACTGGAATACTTCCTAAATTGATTGATCTAATTGACTTTCTCTTCTCAGCTCCCTCGAACTCTCCCACACCAATACGTTAACACGTGCAACCAGATGTACCTGAGAGACACTGATCGAATTTCAAGTCCCCCAAGACCCTAGGCAAGGGCCTTTGGTCTCCTTTTTTCATTTAGGCAACCCAGCTTTTATGTAATCTCAAGACAAACATTGCTCCACAAAGAAACATTTCAATGAGATACGAAAATTTATAAGAACGCAGCTAATGCGTTCAGTCCTTCTCCTTCCAGAAAGTCATGTAGCCCACTTCTGTCGGATACACCGAAAACATCCAAATTCGCGTCCAGCGACATGCTCCTGACGAAGGCCTTGGTTTGCTCCTCATTGGCTTTACTTAGCAATGCCTTGGATGTGGCGGTAAATACTGCCCGGCGCAAGTCCTCGTCGTCTTGCACCTTCTTACAGACCTCGATCAGCAAGCTACCGTCGGCAGCTTTGGACGCCACAAGGTTCGCCAGAATCTTTCCCAGGAGCTTGGGCGCCAGGGGCGCATCCATCGCGAAGTCCTCCAGCTGCTCCGCCGCGAGCACCACTCCCGCCCTGAACGAGTCCCCGGACACGACCTTTTCGGAGTGCAGGTAGTCGAACAGTTTCGACACCAGCTCCTGCTCCTTATCCCGTTTTTCGAACACGATGGACAGAGTAATTTGCACGAATTGGGGGTGCAGCTCGGCCCCGCCCAGCTCCTTCACGCACTGCAGAGCTTCCTTCAGATCTACAATTGTGAAGTACTCCGTCAGAAGCGACTCCGTCTTCTTGGCCACCTTGTCGACTTGCTGGCTGCTGGGCGCTGCGGCGGCTGCCGGGGGCTCCCTCTCGGGAACCTTGGCGGGCTCGGGGGCGGGCAAGGAGCTCGGGGCGGCACGAGGTCCTGCGTCGGCAGGGCCGGGCCCGTTTCGCAGCGCGCTGGGAGGCCCTGCAGGGGAAGGGGCAGAGCTTCCGAGCAGGGCGCTCGGCCTCCCCAAGAATGAATTGCCTGCAGTGCCTTGCGGCAGAGTCCTGGGATTCACGATGTTCGATCTCAATCCCGAGATGGCCGATCTGTTCATGGGCATGCCCGAAGCGCCTTGGCTGGGCGCAACGATGGGCTCGCGCTTGCTCTTCCTCATGCTCGTGACGGTTTCCCAGCCTTCGGGGTCCAATCCTGGAATTCCGAACGATCCTCCAGGCATCATCGAGCCCGGCCTGCCCCCGACGCCGGGCATGACTGGCATTCCTGGCATGCCGGGCATCAAGCCTCCGGGCATCATCCCCGGGGGGGCGACGCCACCGACTCGAGATATCCTGTTCGCGGACCCGGCTCGGAGTCCGAGCTTCTGCTCGGCTTCCGCATGAATCTCGTTGATGGTCTTGGCCTTGACCTCCTCGCGCCGGGGCACCCACTTGTTGCTGCGCACGTCCATAATGTCGCGGACCATGAACCTGATCCGCGATGGCAGACGCGGGTGGCTGTCGAGGGATCTCAACCTGTCGAAGTAGGAATCGACCGCGGGCTTGAATTTGGCGCTCGAGTCCAATTCTTTGCCCACCGTCGACAGCAGCTGGCACAGCGCCTCCACATTCTCCTCCGCTGGGGCGGACTTAGGGTCCGGCCCCAGCAGATCTTGAATGCACGCGTGCACGATCTTTTCCGGGATCATTTTCTGCTTGAAGAGCTCTCCGATGAACTTGATGTTCCCGAGAGTTCGGAGCTTGACGTTCCTTTCCTTCTCTGCGCGGGCCATTTCTTGATCCGGGCCGACCATCTGCCGGATTTCGTCGCGCAGCGCGTCCGCTCCCTCGAATTCCGATTGACAAGTGTTCAGCAGAACACGCCTGAATGTGACGGGCTTCTCGCCCGGCTCGGAGGCGGGGAACTCCGGGAGGGCTTTGCTCAGATCAACGCAACATTGCGCGTACATGGAGCAAAATGTGGGCTCGAGCACGGCCTTGTCGAAGACCAACGAGATCACTTCCTGCAGAATCTCGGCCGAAGAGATCCCCGAATGAATAAGCTGCGTCAAAAGAATGTTGTACTTCTCGGGCGTGAGCTTGTTCAGGATACCCTTGACGGTCTTGTAAACCTTCTCCTTTTCAGACTGCACGCCCCTCCGGGCCGACCACGGGCTCGCGGCCTTGACGATGGCAGGCCCAGGCCCCGAATGCGCAGCAGGCGAGGGGTCCGGGCCGCGATTTTGCGGCGCGTTGGATTGCCGATCATTTTGAGGTCCCCTTTCCCTGTTCTCCTTGGGCCCGGGCCTTTCTCGATACTGGTCTCGATCCCTCGGCCTGTCCTCTCTCTCCGGAGGCGGCGCAGGCAGAGGCGTGCGCTCTCGCCAATTCCTCAAATCCGGTTCCGAGGTCCTCTCGGGCTGGTACGCCTGCTCACGGCGACCAAATTCCTCGAACATGGTGCTGCTGCCGATGCGTTGAACATCTGATCCAGCAATCTGGGCGGGCAGGGTCGTCCATTCATCCTTGTATCCTAGCAGTTCCTCCTTGGAGTATCGAGTGACTTCCTGTCTTGGCTTGGATGATCTGGATTGCTTATCCTGTCGATGGGGGAACACGGGGGCGGGGGCAGTTGCGTATCCTTGCGACGCCCTCGGAGCATTTGATCCGGCCAAATGATCAGACGGGGCTGCGGGAGTGCCACCTGTGGTCGGACCAAACTTAAAGGAAAACCGGCCTCCACCGCCAGGTCTCAAGCTCACGAACTCCTTGGGTCCGGTCTCTGCCCCTCCTGTAGTGCTGGCTTCAGATGCTAGGGATGAACTCGAGGTCGGCGGCAGCAAGGTTGTGGTAGTGGCATCCATGTTGTAAAAGCAAAAGTTTTTAGAGATTCAAACTTTCAGCAAGCAATCTGATTGATTGAAAAGTTACCGTGGTCTCGGTGCCGATTTAGGGCATGCAACTCAGGCTCCCTGAGAGCTGTGTGCTCGTCCGGGGCTTCCCGGAGCTCAGCGGCAGCACGTTTTAAAACCGCAACATTCACTGCACCACACGCACGAGTTCGAAGATTTAGCACCTGCAACACTCTCCTCGCACATCTCCCCGACCAGGTGCCACATCCGGCCCCTGTCCTCTTGCCCGCCCGCCCGCCCGCCCACACTCACAGACAGACAGACAGAGACGATGACAGTCGCAGAGGGCAAGAGAGCGAAAGAGGAGAAGAAACGGGTGGTCCCAGCAGGAGCAGAAGCGAGGGATGAGAGGGAGAGTGAGTGAGAGAGAGAGAGAGAGAGATTGAGATAGGGAGAAAAGGGTTCCTACGAGAAGGAGCGAATCAGCAGCATCACCGACCCAATGCGGACAGGACTGACAGAAGAGGAAGAGGAGGAAGAGGAGGAGGAGGAAGAAGAAGAAGAAGAAGAAGCAGGGAGAGAAATGCACGAGAGCTTAAACAGGAGCGGAGCCACAGACAAACTAAACGGCCTAACGCCGAGATGCGATTCGATGCATCGACCATGAAACATACCCCTCAGAGTGTGTGAATGAAAATCCCGGTGCTGTATGATGTGATGGGTGAACTTCTTAGGTCCCGGCCTCTGGCGGCCCCTCGGGGTTAGCCTTTGGCAGCACCCGAAACTTGAGTTTCGACTGCGAATGAATAAAATGAATAAATGACCTAATTTTCCAGGAGCCGAAATCCTTGGCGATTTCCGATCTGCCTCCTGCTCAAGCTCTAGTTCGGGCGGTGAGACACGAGTATCACCGATGCTCAGCTCTCCGCCAAGCTCTCGATCTAGGCCTACCCTGGAGAGCCTGATTACCCCGCGAGGGAGAAGGGACGGGAGCGAGGGCCGAACAGGATTATGAACGAGCTATGCCCCAAATACGTGACCTAACTTTATACAGTGCATGTAGCTACACCCCAAACCCGGCACCCCCAACTCTCTCTGCCCCCCCTCCCCTCCACGCAAACTCTTCCTAGTCCCCTCCCCTTCCCTCCCCTTCCCTTCCCTAGCGGTACGACCCCCGCGCCTCCACTGCCTCCTCTATCTCCGTTTTCTATTTCCCCTCCTCCTTCTCCTCCTTCTTCACCATCACCACCGGCCATGCCCGGATTGCTCCATCTCCCCGTCCCCCCCTCCCAGCTCCTGGCAATCGAGCGGGCGATCGATCGATTCCTCTAATGCCAGCGGCGTGTCATCGGATGTTGGCCGCTTGGCCTTACACGGTCAGCGTACTTGTACTCCTCCCCTCACCCTATACGCGTACTCGTACTCGTACTCGCCCCCAATTCAGCCCCTCCCTCTTCCCTGCCCAATCTCTGCCAAATACCTCGCCCTTCCCCAACGTGGATGTACCGTCGTCTGTCTCTCCTCCCTCCGTCCCCTTTCTATCTGTCTCTCTACGCTATGTATAGTACTATGTACACTGTACATATTTCTGTCTCATACGCTCTGTTTCTCCTCTCGTCTACCGTGGTTATGCGTAATCCCCCTCCCGGCTCGGTGTCTTCAGGGCGAAGTCTACCCTCCTCTCCCGTCCCTTTCCCCCACCCCCCGGCCCCGCTCGCTGCTCGGCTCTGCACTGATCGTCTGCTTTGTGCTCTGCTCTGTTCTGTTTTCTGTCGATCTGTTGTTGTTCGACGAGGGATTGAAGCGGGGGCAGTGAGAAAGAAGGTCGGAGTTACCTCGTGCTCGTTCTTGCTGGTAGAGATGTTGCTTTGGGCCGACGATGGACGGGGGAGGAGATACGCCTGCTCGAGAGCGAGGTGACAGGAGGAGGAGGAGGAGGAGGAGGAGTGAATGAGCGAGGGACGAGGCATGAGCATGAGCAGGAGAGGAGGAATGGCTGTGTCGAAAGCGCGTCGGGTGGCTGCTTGGTGCGTCGTGTGTGGGCATCGGAGCTCGGGCCAGGATTAGGTGGGACGATGAGGACGCCGGAATCTGTGCTGAGCATGACCGATGGTGTTAATCGCGGAGGTTCTTTTGGGAATTGAGGATAGGAAGATTTGGGCTTTTGGCCGAAAGGTCCCAACTACCGTCTGCCATTAGACAAAATGCCAGTTTGTGGGATGAAATCGTTGTGGTTGGAGAGCACATTACATCCATTCAGGGTTGAATTTCGTTCGTACTGCAACATGTCGGACAAAAGTTCCTGCGGGTCATGTAGATGCTTTAGTCCCAAACTATAACTTGTAACAACCCTACCACAGGTGGCCCGAGTCTACTGCTTAGACACAAAACTTTCTCCCTCGCCTAGAGAATCCGCTCCGCACAAACTTCGTCCAAAGGCCCACAAGCCCGAGAATCCTTTTTGTTCAGTCTTGCGAGCAGAATTTTCAGCCCCAGTCTCGGTGGTCAAAACATCGGTCCTTCCGAAGCGCATCGCCGGCCAAAGCGTTGAAATACTGTCTATATAAAGCGGCCGCACCGGACTGCAATTCTTCGGGGCAACTTCGGTCAATAAGGATGCGCTCTCTCACGGTCATTATACAGTTTGCCCAATTACTGACTGGCAGAAAGAAGACGGTGAAGCAATCACAAGCCACAATTTCAACTCGAAGTAAAGCCCATCAAACAGCAACTCTTCAGTCTCCACGTAAATTAGAGTTTTCTGTCTCCCTATGTTTTCTGCTACAACAATCTTTTTAACAGGCAGATACAGCAATTCGAACTTCAACTCCTTCGACTCTGTGCGTTGAATATCAGCATCAACTTCCCGTCTGATGTGGTCAGAGGACTTCGGATTCAAGTTCTCGTCTAGGATGGGATCGCATAAAAAAATCAGTTCATGAAGAGATATGGACAACAGGGTGCCTGTCATAAACCATCAAGCTTGATGGCTTACTCCAGGTATGCGCAGGTAGAGAGTGAATATGACAAAAGTCCTTAATGCTTCCGAGTTTGTCCTTGAAACAACAGATAAGAAGCACACAGATTCTCATTGACTCCCTAATGTACATAAAGATCAATTTTGTCTTTGAAGCCAATTGATTAAAGCTGATTGACCTAGATGTCCACCGAGCGATCAAGTCAGAAGCACAGGGTTTCAGGCATCGGTGGCAGATCCCCTGGATGGGTTTAGGGTAGTGAAAACAAACGCTGTATCGGTCACCTGAACCAACACAAAGAGCTGGAATTCCTACATCTGCAAACCGCTTCCAATTGAACTACCTCCTATGAGCCAAATAGATCGACCTGAAACGCAGATATCTGAAGGCCTGATACGGCGGGATCTTGTACGAGGTATATGGTCAGCGCGAGATGTTAAACGTGAAGAAGTGAAGTCAGTCTGATAGCGTGGGTCTCTAAATCTAAAGCCCTATTTGTAAAATCCTGGTACAGGATCGAACAAAATAGGCACGGAGGGCATTGCCGATACAGCGAGATGACATTGTCGTTCGGACTATGGGAAATTTCACGAGCATTTATCTTCGTCTGGAACCACTGTAATAACTCACAGCGACTGCGTCTTATCGACACAGGTCCAGTAGTTGAAACAAACGAGCAGGGAGACTTTTTCTCCAGGTCACTCAACTAACACCTAGAGCTACGTTCACAAACGACAGCACCCTTTCCACGTACCAGCAGGAAACCCATAGACTCCGTTGTACACAGCTGTCTCCGGATTACCACGCATCCTAAAGAATTCACGGAAATTCACCGCCTCTGTACCGATGCTCAGGAACAGAGAGTGCACGAAAAGCACTCAGAGCTCGAATCCAACAAAAGCAGGTACGAGATAAATTCCACCTCCCCGTTTGAACATTCTCCCACGGCGAGCCCAAAGTCTCATCAATTCTTCGTCCCCAGCGCCTGTCCCCCTCCCTTGAAGCAAAAGCAGAGTTTCCGCGGGAGGGTGTCAATTCTCGATCATGAAAGTCGGATTTCTCAGCGAGAAAACGTACGTGCACCGTCGTACACACCCAATCCATACAACCAGACCGCGTAGGTCTTGAAGGCTGACGAAGGAGGATCTCGAACGGCCGACATTCATCGGGCATTTACATACAGGGCATGCGGGAAGGATCTCACACGTCTGCCCATCCCACCCCACCCCACCCGACCCTCCGAGTGCCCCCAGGCATTTACGTACCTTCATGCGACCGAGGCTTCTGTCGAAGGCGACGAAAAGCTCAGCGATCCCGAAATGAATCGAGCCTCCTTCATTCCCTCGCTCGGATTCACTCCTGCGCTACCCAACGCTGCCTCGCACAGCCGCTCCAATCATTCGATCAAATCGCCTGCTTCATTCCTGCCGCATGAATGCCGAATCATTAAGAAATCGAGGCCCCCGCTGAGTCCCGCAGAGAGAGAGACTCCGCCTTCGCTGCCAGCCCCCGTTCATAGTTCCCAGGTTGGGGGAAATCATTGGGCCGTCGAAACTGCGGTACACGATCTACGTCGTCCCTCTCGCAACCGCGTCCTCTCCTACTATGGTCGACCCCGGCATCTGCTACAGTACTGCCGTATACGATGCACGCTGGATGATCCGCTGATCCAGATGCCGGGCCACCGGGTCACCGGGTCATCCGGTGTGAGCACAGAGAGGCTTCCTCGCCGTCTGCATGCTCCACGGCAGCGATTGACTAATCTGATTTAATTAAGACTTGACAGACTAAGACATTCGTAAAGATCTGTTAATAGCTGCATCCGATTCATTTTTGGTCGACTATTTACTTATCTCTGGGCTCCATAGAGAAGGAAAACCCTGACTTCGAGGGCATCTGTATATATCCCGTTTTAAAGCCTGACCCCAAACAGCTCGAATTAGCACAGTGACATCCAGCCACGAAGAAAAATCTCTAAACTGGACCACTTGAAAAATTCCCGGAGTACTCTTGACGTCGTTATAGGTTGATAAACTGCCAAGTTCACTTGAATGCGATCCAGCCCGTAAAATACGGTGCAAGCTATCCAACGCTTTGCATGATAATATAAAATTTTTTTCCCTCATCCTTAATGTATCCATCTTAAAACATTAGTCTAAATTGTTTTCGTGTTGGTTCTGAGAACACCATTTCCTCAAATTAGCAGAATAAGTCGAACGCTGGAGCACGTGAATGAGCTGGATCTGTACTAAGGAATCAGTTGTCGGATTCGCTCAAGTTAGTTGCAGGAAATAATTTGCTAGTGATTTTTTCATGAGCAAGAAAGAGGCTACATCACCACAGGCAAAAAGCTCCCGCCAAAGGTATGTTAGTGTCGAACAGCATTTTCTCTTTCGTTGTGCTCGGTCCGCATGCCGAAGTTAATCTTTCTCGAAAAGCCGTTGGAAGTGTGACCTGGATGACTGAGCTCTCCAAGACGTATGCATTCTCAACTCTGTAGATTTGGGGTTGAGTGGATAAATTTTTTAGAACGGCATTAAACCCCTTGATGTTGGGAAACGTTCTAAGAGACTCAACTTATTTTATTCCCTGAATCACAGGCCACTTGGCGCATTGAGTCATTTCTTATACTAATGAGAATGCGGTTTGGATTATTTTCCACGGGACAACACGTGTCCTTAAATATGACACTTGATTATAATTACCGGGAAATACTGATTGTCCAGGAACCAAACCAAAAAAAATTACCCTTTGGCCTGTTCAGATAAAATCTTGAATTCTCTTGTAAAAGATGTAGGAAGAAAGAGACACTTCTTGAATTCGAGTAAATGAAATACGGATATTATTTATGCAATCTGCCTGGCGAATATGTCGTCAGACTGGGCCTTAGATCCAACGTTGGTTGTTTCTATCACTCTAAAAACTGCAATTGAGATCTAATTTTTAATTTGTTACTGTTATAAATACACGGAAAAGCCTTCAACTTCTTATTTCTTACCTTTTTTAATTATTAAACTATTTAGCCAACAATTCTAAAGTTCTTATTTCTGTACGATTCTTCAAAAGAAAAGGGCTTTTATCTTCGTACTAGAATAACCCTGCATATGACTTGATGACGTAATAATACCTACCATCAATTTAGTCAACAGCCTCTGTATTCCATTGTAATTAAACGTGCTTACTTATTATTACTTCTTCATGTGTCGCGATCAAGACTTTGTATCCAACTGGGGAACATGAAACGTACAGTCCAAACAATACGAGGGTTCATTCAGTCTAGAAAAGAGATACGGAAGCAATGAAAGTCAGCTCAACACATGTCCCCTAGAACCGAAGCGGATTCAATTAATCCGAAGATATTCAATCTGAAAAGCCAAAGATTTAAGAAGTCTGTTTATTCCTGGTATCCCGTGTGTCTAAGTCACTTAACAGTTTGAGGTTTAAGCTTGACATTTACTACCGACCGTGTCCAACGCTTGTATTATGTTGCATACTTATGACAAGTCACGTGAACAACTCATGGTCACAAGCCGTGAATTATCTGTGGAAATTTGTATTTCTATTTTGTAGGAAGGGGTACCGAATATACTTCTTGAAAATTTGACTTGAAAATTCAAGTCAAATGTTTGAAGATATTCAATATGCATCTTGAACAGGCATACATTGAATTTCAACATTATTATTTTTTCAAAAAACATGTGTGTATGCATAACTTGTGGGGTTTAATCATGAAGACAAACAAAATCTCACTGGAACAGGCACCACAACTCACACACTTACATGTTTGCTCTACCACTGCGATCTAAGTCCACAAAGATAATATTTTTTTGTAAAACTAAAATAAATAATGAAACCATATGCTATATATATTTTTATTTATAATGATAGCGTAACCTAAACCCTAATTGGATTTGAACCAAACTAAATGAAATATATATGATGACACCTAACATTAATCTAAAATATATTTAGAATTTTATAATATATCATAATAGCAATATTCAATATTTATTGCTCATCTAAGATCATAAACAATCATAATTTTCAAAGCTAGATGAGTGTAACTTTTGTAATCGTAAATCAAAGAAATTTGCAAAAGTAATTTTATTATTAAAACCGTATATAGATTAAATATAATTTGATACATAACAAGATACACTCAACGTGACAATATTTTTAAGTATGAAACATTACATAATGATCAAATCAGGTGTACAATATCAATATATATTTGTATGCATTTGAGTGTATTGTTTGTTATGAACACAATAAAAAAAAAGATTGATATCTAAAACTCTTGTTTGATTAGATTTTCAAAAATAAATTCCATATATATAAGTACAAATAAATATTGTTTGTATATTCAAACAAATACACATTGAACCATTAGGGTTTTTTGAAATAATATTGTAAATTTAAAAGAAGGAAAAAGTTAATTTGATATATTAAAACTTAATTTTTAATATTATGTCCAATATTAAATAATTTGCTAACATATTTATATTTATAGTTTGATATATAATAAAATTTGAATTATTTGAAATATGTCATTTTATATTGTAAATTTTAATGACGTCAACATATGAAATCATAATATAATCATTTGGAAAAGATATTAAGCCTTAAATCAAAATTTTTATTTGCAAAATTTTATAAATGGTTGGTTATAGATATTATAAGTTTTATAAAAATTTGAATATATTTACGTAATTGCTGTAAATTAATTTATTTGAAAAAAATTGCATATAATTTAATCAATTTTGATGAATTAAAATTTATGAATATACATATCAAATTGATGAATGATTTACACAAGTTTATTCTTTATATTGATAAAAACTCCTCTGGTATTGTTAAGTTAGTTTTATACAAAAAATGTGTTTCACCTGAGTGAGACCACATTCATGAAAACACAGATGCATGATCAAAATCCTTATACATATATATATATATATATCTCCAGTAAATACAATCAACTATAATAACAGTATAACTTTAATCCAACCAACCAGACTTATGTTCCTTCTTTAAGGAGAACCTTCTTTAAGGAGAACGTGAGTTCAGTTCTCACACATGTGTACACATGCTAATGCACACAAGCAAAATAAACAAATCAAATTGTTTTCAAACAAAATTATGAAATATATTGATCTTTGACTTATGTTCCTTCTTTAAGGAGAACCTTCTTTAAGGAGAACGTGAGTTCAGTTCTCACACATGTGTACACATGCTAATGCACACAAGCAAAATAAACAAATCAAATTGTTTTCAAACAAAATTATGAAATATATTGATCTTTGAAAAACAATGATTTATTCATATGGTAAATGGTAAATAGATCAAGCCCGTGGGATCCAAAGGGTCAAAAGGCTAAAAAAACACAATACAAACAATATATGAATATGAATACAAACATATGAATCTACATGCTTTAAAAGACTACATCCGTTAATCTAAGTTAAATTCTAAATATTTTAAATTAATTTAATGATATCATTGAAATTAGATCTATATTTGATGTAGATGATAATATCATATTAAGAATATTTACCTCAATGCATGTAATTATATACTTTCTAAGCTAGATAAATATAAGCTAGTTTTATCGAAACATACTCGTTGAAATCAGATGAATTAAAAAACAATTATCTTGTGCACAACTAGAAATATAAAAATAATTTATAATTAAATTTCAAAATAATATAAAACATAAAATTAATAAATTAATAAATAGTTACATAAAAGAAAAAATTTCGATTTGCGGCAAAAATTTTGGCCCTCATATTACTTGTAATATTCGTTTTTTAATAAATTGTTTTCCCATATATGTAATTTGGAAATAATAACAATTTCACTGATATACTAAAAAATTTAACAAAATTAATTCTAAGATAGTAATAGACCAGATCAATAAAATGTCAATAAATAATAATAATAAACTCGTATATTACTCCAACTTGTTTCACAATCTTCAAACTTTTAGATCAAACTGTAAATAATACTATGCAAAACATAAAAGAATGAAAGAAATAATTTTATTAGAAATCTTATGTTAATGCTTATGCCGTATGCTTGAAATTTGTAGAGTTTTTTAGTTTTTGCATAAGTTAATATGAACACACCTTATAACACTACATTGGAAGTAAAACCGTTGTGCATTTTTTTCGCAATATATTTTGCGAAGCATAACCACTTTGGAATCAAAATGACGATGTCATGGAGTATGCACTAAGAGCAGAGACTACATCTGCAGTATCAGAGAGAGCAATATCAAGAGTACAACAAGCAAGTACACACCCCATGGTCCGAGCCCATCCAATCAGAGCACATTGTCGAGACCTCTTCCTTATCGTTCAAAGGAGAAGAAGAGAATCGAGCTCCCAATGCCGATAGAGAAAAGGGAAAAGGGAAGCACTCGAGTAGCAGCCGGAGCAATATTGCGGGAGAGGGAGCGAGGGAGGCCACGGATGGATGGGGCGAAAAATCTCCGCACTGATGTCTGAGTGGAGGGTGGCCTCGATCCCAAGATCTGCCGGGGGATGCAGTCGCGGTAACGACGGGAAAGCGACGGGAACGCAAGAGGATAACAAAGCCCCCGAACGAGGCCATTGGTGGCGAGCCCACGCGCCGCTGCAATGGCCGGCCGCCATGTGGCAGCCGAAAGAGCCCGAGCAGATTATGCTGGCGTCGTCCATGGGTCCTTCGATCGGAACGAGCGAGGTCCGTCGGGGCGCAGTCAGGACGTCGGTCAGAGGGAAGGAAGGAAGTCCAGGCATCGAGTCCCGCAGAGGGGAAAAAATTCTTCGGCTCGTTCGAAGATCTCGCTTCGAAGCCCGAATTCCGATTCGGCCCGACCGGGGCGCATCGCACCGAGGCTGGCCTGCCAGCGAACCCGCGCTCGCCCCGCTCCGCGCAGCATCGAGGCGTCTGGTCTGCGCCCGTGGTACTGCCCATATCCACCAGCTCGGAGCTGCGGCGGGGCGTTTGTCCTTTGTTGTTGGATCGGGGGATTTGGACTGACCCCATCATCCAGCCCTCGCGGCTCGCTCCGTCGCTAAGTCGGTCTGAGGCTGGCTCGCTCTCGAGCGATGGCGAAATTCGTGAACACGAGCCATCATGGGACCGTGAGTTCACCACGAGCTCTGTAGGCCGTCTTCCGCAGTCGCTGCTGCCCGGAAAACCCGGGAGGGGGCATCGTCGTCGTCGCGGGCGTCGCAGCAGTGGCAGTCAGGAGTGGCAGTGGCTGTAAAAGCGTCGCCGTAGCGCAACGCTATCACCCCGCGACGGAACCGAAGCTCGCTGTCGCAATTCTTCAGCTCGAGCTCGAGCTCGAATTGCGTCTCCATGGCTGCTCTGCAGAGCAGCTCAATCGCGGGAGGCCTCGATGGCTCGCTGTGCCATTCCTCCGCCGTCCTCCGACGCGACGCCCAATCTCTCCGCTCCTCCGGACATTGCCATTTCTCCGGCTCGCTCCGCCTCAGCGGGGCTTCCTCAGCTTCATCGACAGCAGCAGCAGCAGCTGCGCAGAGCAGGAAGAGCTCGCTCGTCGTGAGAGCGGAGGAGGAGTCGTTCTTCCAGAACCTGGGCACGCAGTTCTTCAAAGCCGGAGGGAAGAAATCCCCGCCCGATGACGTGCCCGCCACGCGGGCCGGCGGGACGCAGCTCTTCAGGCTCGGCCAGAAGAGAGCGGCGCAGGTCGAGGACGACGAGGACGACGATGACGAGGACGAGGAGCGTCCGAATTTCGGCACGCAGTTCTTCAACCTCGGCGGCAAGAGGAAGAGCGCGGGCTCTGGCACCGTCACCGAGGCGGCGGGGGGGTCCAACGGCACCGCGCTGGTGGCGCGGCGCGAGGGCACGCTGGCGTTACAGTCTTTGCAATTCGGCCGCGGCCGCCGGGTCGATCCCAAGACCGTCTTCGTCGCCGGCTCCACGGGCCAAATTGGCGCCCGAATTTCGCAGCAGCTCCTCCGCGCCGGCTTCAGCGTGCGCGGCGGCGTCCCCGACCTCTACGTCGCCCAGCAGCTCGCTGAGTTCGCCACGCAGTATGGAGTGAGTTCATTTCCTCTCGTCTCTCCGTTGCATCCCTTTTTCCTCTTCGCCTCCTATCGAATCCGCTCGAGAAAACACCATGGTTGCAAAATTTTGTATGTATGTAAGCAATTAGGCCCCTCCGTTGTAATGTAGAGGGCAGTGTATCCAATGTCTTGCTCGTCGTCGTCTTTGGTAGACTTCTTTGAATGTCTCGGGTTTTTTTGTTGACGTTCAAGCGGTGAAATCGAGGTCCAATGATGTGTTGTTAGGAGAGTACGGTTTGTGGGAAGGTTTTTTTTTGTGGTGTTTTTGTGGAGGAAGAGATTAGAGCGATGGTTTGTGGATGTTGCGGGGAGAGGTTGTAGTTGTTTTTGTGTTTGGCGCTGAAGGGTGTTTTTTTTTTCTCCCTACATGTAGGTGATCAGCAGGGACGAGGCGAAGAGATTGAACGCGGTGGAGTTTGACTTCAAAAATGTGTCATCGATCGCCAAAGCGCTGGGAAATGCTGGGAAGGTTGTGGTGACAATCGGCCCCACGGAAGACGGGCCTCGTTCCAAGGTGACGACCGATGATGCGTTGCGCGTCTTGGAGGCTGCAGCTCTTTCGAACGCTGCCCACTTTGTTCTGGTTTCGGACCCTGGGCAAGGACCAGCTTCGGATAATGGAAATCCTCTGGCGGGGATTTCTTTCTTCTTCAGTAACCTGTTCAAGAAGAACACGGAGCCTTCCGAGACTGAAGTGGTCGATAAAATCGTCGAGAGTGGTCTCACCTACACCATAATTAGAGCTGGCTCCACAGATGGTATAGATGACTACGCTCCCGATGGTGGAAACCTGGTTGTTGAGGCTGAAGGTGCTTCTGATCCTAGCTTCAAGGTAATTGAACTTGTCCTTCTAGTCTTACTCGTTATGTCTCTGTTGGGCATGCCCCTATAAATTTCTGCTCTCTGTTGAATTTCGACCTTCCTTTGAATTAGCGACTGAGACAATCAGCTTTTCGAAACAGGTCTCCAAGATCCAAGTTGCTTCTGTGGTGGCTGGCGTGTTTTCCAACTCCGGAGTGTCTGAAAACAAGGTGAGTTTGGAAGTCATCTCCTGTTTGATATCCCAATTCCGGTACTTTGCATTCAGGACATGGAAAGCTTTTATGGATCTTTTTGTTTGAATTCCGTGAGCAGGCACTCTTCTTCCTGCTTATATGAATTTTCTGACGGGTTCACGCATAGCTTTCCTATATAGGAGCCTTGATAGAATAGAAGATTTTCAAGTGGTTTGAATAAGCATTACACAACGACTTGCGGTCTAAGCTTACGTTGCACAGGTTGTGGAAGTCGCCTCCAGTCCGAATGCACCTTCTCGACCAGTGGACGAGCTTTTGAGGTACGCAGCTCTGGTTGTTGTGGCTGGTCAAGAATAAGTTAAGAATTATACCGAGGATGCATTGCAATCACCACATACACGTCATCCTTTGTGAAACACCGTCATTGCTCATTTGCCTTGGCATTCATTTGTCGCCATGTCGTCCACTGAATTCACTTTCGGTTCCATGGGACAGTGCTATACCAGTGGACACCAGAAGAGCAGTTTTGGAGGAGGAGCGGGCTCGAGCTGAAGCTGAGGCAAGGGAGAAGGAAGCTCGAGCTAGAGCCGAAGCCGAGGCCCAAGCAGCGATGGAAGAGGCTCGAGAGGCAACCATGCTCGCAGCACAATTAGAAGCTGAGGCCAAGAAGCTGGCCGCTGAGGAGGCCAGGGCCGCAGCCCTGGCGGCCAAAGCTCAAGCCAGAGCCGATGCCGCCTCTGCCTCTGTCGATGGACTGCAAGCCAGGGCCCAGGAGCTGGGTGGAAACCCACTGAAGACCATGACCGGACGCCTAGGACAGCAGGTGTCTTTTAAACTGGACGAAAAAATGTTCAACAAGGGTCGTGTATCATCTCCGAAAGCAGCAGCATCCGAGGCAGCCCCAGAGAAAGTCATGAAACCCGAGGGCTTCGTCTTCCCATCGTTTCCATCCTTCTCCAAGAAGGAATCCAAACCAGCCCCGTCACCAGCTCGAGCTGCAGCAGCAACTGCCTCTCCGACCCCTGCCAAGTCAGCAGGCTTCTTCGGAGGGTTTTTCAACTCCCAAGAGACCATCTACATGGAAGAGGACTAGGCGCAGCAGCAGTCCACTCGAGGTGTTGTCACTTATCGACGTCCTCACCCAGTGCCTGTAAAGGTTCGGAATCTATATATCTCAGACACCTAGAGTTTGTATGCAGATTCCTGAGGATGAACCGCCCTACATCCTGATTCTTTGTTGTAACATATGAATGGGCACCATCAGAGGCTGCTGCAGTCAAACCTGTACAGCAGCTTGAGTGTAATTTTTCGCAACCCTAGCCCTAGAGCCCTCGATTGGGATGAAAGCCTGGAGCATAATTTTCTCCAGGCCTTTTCTCCTCATGATGTATGTTGAAATTAGAAACTGTATCCATAAATCGATGACCGTGCAGCGTGTATTTGAATCGAGAAGCGAAAGACGGATAGTGCAAGAAATTATCTGCCTGTGAACTGAAGTTTAATATCTCGATCCTCCCAAAACTACCACCTTCCGAAATGGTCTTTTTTTTTCAGACAATCTGCGTGGCTGTGACACGACGTGAAAGCTTAACATGTTTCAGCTTATGAGGCTGGTAGTAGGCTGCTCGTTCAGTTACCCTAAAGCAAGGGTAACTGAACGGGTACTAATCACCAAACAACCTTGAAAAAAACTTTACCAGGAACTTCATAGGTTCGATAGAGCAGCCATAAAGGGATTTCATGAAGAACCAGTATCAGTAAAGGGTATTCCCACCAAACATTATCCCAAAGAATTCTGCTCGCTTAGTGGTGACAGCAGTTTCCCCAATTTTCAGCAATTTCCAAATAACAAGATGAACATTTCCAAATCTGAAGTGGAGAGTTTGATACAAACGGTCAACTTCCTACATGAACATCTTCGTGTAAACATATTGACGGGTACGTGTACCCAGCGTTTCAATACATAACTACGTATAGGGTTCAACCTACCTTGCAGGCTGACTCAAAGTGAGGAGCACTGGCCAATCGAGATACAGAATGGCTCATGTGATAAGGTAGATACCACCACCCGTTGGCTGTTGTGTCGAGATCAGAACGGAGGAGCTCGTACGTCGTGCAGGGAAACGTAGTGCTATGTGAGTTTGGTGAAGTCCTTGAATGCTTCTAGTATGCCCTTATACAGGTTCTTATCTCATTGTAGAATTGATAACCTCGCTACTGTAAAGACTCGGAACTTTTAGTGTATATTCCAGAGATTGATCGCAAAAGCTAACTTCATCGTACGTACCACGACGATCGAAGTCGATGCTTTACTTGAACTTCATCGTCGAATGCGTTGTCACGATGTTGAGCAATTGCTTGACTCTGCGACGCGTATGTTTCCTAGATCCGCTGTTGACAAGCCGTCCAGCGATTTGGAGGTGGAGTGTACCGTCGATCGTCCCGAGGATTGTCCTCGTGCGCCATGTGGAACTAAACCGTGAGCCAGGTGCCCTTCTCGGACCTTTCCCGTTCAGGTCAGAATTTCCTTTCCCAACGCTTCCTGTGTATGTGACCAATGTGGAGTTTCGACGAGGAGTTTTGGCGTTCAATTTCCGACACGAACTTAATACAGTTTTCTGTAAAGTAAATTGGTGGTGCAATATAATTTTCTTGAATTGTGACTTCATTTGCTTGGTTTATATACAGAGATAGTGAATTAAAGAACTCACCAGTCATAATTGCAAGAAGATGTGATAAAATGAATATGGGATGGGGGCGACCAATATGACGTCTAGTCTAATTCCTTGATAATATGTGCAAAATAAATATACAGTGCTGAAGAAGTAATGGAAGCAAGACGAGAGAGGAGCAATCGTAAAGAAACTAAATGGTTCTCGTCAAAAGTAATCCATCTGGTGATAAAAAATGTACAAATTTTTATTTCGAATACACATTGAGTTATTGAAGTAGTACTAAGATTTCAGTTGGGAGTTTATTTCATTTTGTCTATCTTATTTGAATTATGAACTTAATTGAAAGTAAAATTCAATGCTTGAGCCAAATTAAGATATTTTAATACTCTTTATTCATATGAAAATTTAGTGGTGTATCTAAATGAAATTTGAGTTTAATTTAATATCATGATACAATTTAAAGATTATATATACAGATATATTTAGTAAAGTCTAATATAGAAAAAAATTTAAATTTTAGTTTTGAAAATAAATTAATAATATAATTGTAAAGTTCACAAATTTTGGTATGAAATCAAAAAATCATATAAAAAATCTATCATGATGTATTTTGACATTTAATAAAGGGGCAGACTAGGGCCACACCCGCTTTTGCTACGGCCACACCCGCTACATACAAACAACTGATTGCGCGTCAAAGCACGTCTCCATTCAAACCCAGCTGTTAGGCCGAGCTCGTCCGCGAGGCAGAGGAGAGCGTAGTCGAGGGGCGTGGGGCCGCTGCGGCTGTCGCTATCTTCTGCGTTGATGCCGCTTGTACCACTTTTAACTCTGCCGCCGTTCTATTGATCTATTAGCGGGTGGGTGTGGCCCTAGTCTGCCACTTTAATAAATTGGAAAAAAACTTTTGATTTTTTTTAATTTTTATTCAATTTTCATTCAACAAATTTTGAAATTTTAAATCTTCTCTTTTTTTACTAATATTTTTATATAATGTTTAGATTATGATTATTTGAGAAGATTATAAATACTTAAATATAATAAATATTCATCAATTGAATTTTTTGTTTTTTTTAATTACAAATAAGTTGCATACAATATTGAAAATTTGTATTTGAAATATTTATATTATTTAAAAAATCAAAATCACTTTGTTATGTCTTCTTGCATCAATGAAAACTGAATACTCATATTTATGAAAAAAAAAAATGTTACATTGTGTTGGTGAATGATCTTAATCCTAGTTAATTTTAGTTAGAAAAGTTGTCAGGATTGGTAGTATTTAATCTGTGACTTCATACAGAATAATATTTTTTCATTATTAGTGATACATTCATTCTCGCGTTTTTTCACGCCGTGTATGTCATTATTCATCTGGATGAATCACATAATCTATGAGTTCTTTGTTTAATCTAAAGTTGTTGTTTTACGAGTTTGAGACTAAGAATGAGATATTTGCTTGATGGAACTCCATCAAGAATATATTTGCTTGCTAGGATCTATCAAGTTTTATTTTACCCGATGGGATCTCACGGACGGTGTGCCGTCAATGAGTTCTAGTGAATGTTCTAATGTGGATATGTACTTGTAACAATTTGTTTTAATACATGTTCTTATAAAAATATGTTCTTGTTCTTCACTATCCAAGCTGCTGATACCTCCGGTTGGTATACGTGATAATATGTTCCAAGTCTTTTTCACTGTTGAAAAACCTCTGCAGTGTCTATTAGGTTAGATACGATCATTCGTTGGAGGCAAAATTCACATGATGCATATTTTCCACTTGATGCGCAACTCGGTTTACTGGAATTCGTCCTCTATCAATTATATTTGTGGGCGTTTTGTCCTTTTGAGCGGCACAATAAATATATCAATACCCAGTTTCACAAACTTGTTGTTGAGGTCTCAAATTGAGCACAATTCATATTTCCACATTTTATATTTTCAACTGAAATTTAACAGAATGATATTGAAGTTCAAAGACATCATGCCGTGCTGTCAGCTTTGGAGCTCTACGTGTGACCAAAGATACAAGTTTGAGATAAGCTAGTTTTTGTTTGCAACATAGAGACAAAATATCTTACTAACACAGTGATGGTGCTCATTTATGCAATAAAGCAATACAATGGAATTAAAATAAACGTTGAGAGCTTTATTTATTTTTATAGAAGCCTTTACATACCGTGCTTCTAATTAAATGCAACTCATATATCCCCTGTCATGCTTCCTTATTTTTTAGTAAGTAGGAGTAGAAACTGGAAGAATGGAACTAGAGAGTGGTATTGATATGCTCATCATCTCAAGAGCTGCTGCAAGGACCTTTGTTGCAAAGTTGCTGCACTTGCTTGTATGAAGCCTAATGCTTCCACAATATCTTCCTCTCCCATTAGGGATGTTGCAACTACGGCCTTGAAGAGCATTTATTTCTGATTTATATCCATGTTTGTATTTTCTCTCAAAATGGACAAGGTGCCTAGGCATATATCATTTTACAGCTCAAAAGTGACTGAATAATAATGGAAAGCGACAATCGAGTTGTTCATGTTGGAGTGGTGCTTGCATTCGGTTGCAACATCTTCCTGCATCTTAGCGGCACCAAAAACCAAGACACCTACATTCTTTTCCTCAAATTGCTTTGCCATGTCGCCGAATAACACTGCATATCCACAAAAATGTGAGTCGAAGAAGAGTAAGACTAGCCAAATCAAACTGAAAACTAATGACTACTAAACGGTTTTCAAACTTATCCTTCCAGTTTGGTCTTTGGCCCAAAGTGAGTTTTCCCTCTCCTGAAGTATGCTAAGAAGCGCGGAGTTCACTGTCTCCATCATTATGCTTGAATTCTTTTACGGGAGAAGGCGGGAAGGAGTTGGCCAATTCTTGTGTGTGGGTTTTGGATGATCTCCTCTTTTGGCAATCCTCTAGATACTGGTATCCACAAAAGAGCGAAAGGAATTAATGCTGCCTTGCCAAGATAAATGCCGATGTACTTCAATTTCCGGACGCCTCTACGGTCATCATAAAGAAACGTAAGCTTGAGCAATGTCGATGTTGTATTATGTTTTGATGGTTGGCCTAGTAAATGTAGGCAAACTATGAAGATAGGGCATGTAAAACTGCTTGCAGTATCAGATGATCTCACCGGCTATGTGCTCCTTTCTTTTGTTTTGTATTATCGATTCGATTGCTTCTGTCCATGACCATCTTGATGAAGTAGAAAACCATGAGAAAAATATTTACAAAGAGAATTATGATGTCGGCAAGGGTGATCATTCCCAACGGGCTTCTTATTACATGTTGTGACCATATATTCAACTGTGGTTTCTGGTCTGCCGTATCGTTTCTGGAAAAGTATCAGAAAAGACATCAAGAGAGGCCAACGTTAAAATGTAGTTAGTCTGTCTTCTTGTCCAATGCAATCAGCCTCAAAGTAACTGACGAACTATATCAACTACAGAATCTGGTATCTAGAAACTTACTGAGGTGAACATAACAAACAAAGACTCACCTCATTGCAAGTTTGATTTTCCTCTTGAGTGCTATAGTAAAATAGCTAAGGAACGCAATGACCATGAAGGGTAATACTTGAAGAAGTCAAGTAGAACCTGGAATAAGATATATCAATAGTTAGAAAACACCAGGTAACTCATCTATTCAAGCTGAAAAACTGGCAAGAACTGACTGAGAAGTGTTGTGTGCACAAGATGAAATCAACGTTGTATTCCTTGTGCTAGATAGATCCCTCTTAGTAGCAACTATCTATCGAAGACACTAAGACATGCAGAAACCAGCCATGGATAAAGCATCGATGCTGGACTCCAAACCACCAACAACCATCACAT